AAAATGTTGGACTAATTACACTATAGCACTTGCATTGTAGCCTGTTTTGACATTTTTATTGTGAAATTGCACTTACCCAGCCTACTTGCTTGTAAATATCCTTTGCTACGTTGTTTTTTAATATGTGATCTCGTCTGTATGTTTCATGACTGCTGCAAAATTGTATTGCCTCTTTGAGGACATGAAAGCTTTCTGAATCTGAAAAATCTCCATTAATTATAAGCCACCCAATAATACACATTTCCTGTTGCTGCAGGATTATTTTCCTGCTGTGAGAAATTGCTCAAATTAATATCCTACACCTGTAGTTACAGTTTCTAACCAACATAAAGTAAGATTAGGGATAGTTTTAGGGTTAGGGTCAAGGTAAGGGTTAGGGTGAGAGTTAAGGCTAGGGTTAGAGCCAGGGTTAGGGTTTGTGCTAGGTTTAGGGCTAGTGTTTGGGTTAGCTCGCTAGTTAGTTCGATGCTGTAATAGCTTGCTACATCATCTCTGCTAATGAATCCACTGAAGCTATACCTCAGTTGAAGGTAATGTCTCCTCTCGCTGTCTTTCCCCAGGGCAGCAGACCAGTGTGCAGTCATCACCACTCAGAAACCAGAAGACCTCTGACATTATGGAATCACTATTTTCTCTCCTGTTGACCCCATCGTTACACCGTTGGGCATGAATATGCCAAAGGGCCAGACGACGATGCCCTGCCGCACCTCACTAAGAAGGAACCACCTTGGGATCAGGATCTACAGTACATGTATAATGAAGGAACTATGAACCTACGGAGAACTGCAATACCTACAATACCGTTATCTTCTTCCACTGGAAAACTACATATTCCATGCACCCTTTCTGCTGTAATTCTTTTGTCTCTAGCTTCTTGGACGACACAGTGTCTACGTTGTAATTGATTTGCTGCACTTGAATGACAGCGAATGTTTTGGACTAGGTGTACAACTCTTTAAATTAGTGTCCCCAATGACTGTCTGTTGTAAATTATCATCTCATTGCTACTATACTAAATGAAAAACAACCAACCAACCAATCAACCAATCAACTAACTAACCAACCAACCAACCAACCAAATAACCAACCAACTAACTAACTAACTAACTAACCAAACATCAGAACCACTCAATGGGCTTGTTCAACATTGCAGCTGACTGACTGATCTACAAACCACCTTGCATCACAAATAACTACTCATTATTATTTCTAGATCAGTCGGACAGTCACAATTTATCCAGGATACATTATGATTTTGCAAAGATTCTCTATTATATGGACAAGATAGTCGATTGATCGCTCTGACAATAGAAATACATGTCCTCAAAGATGAAAGGCAGGCGGGAGGAAGCTAGATCAGGTGGGACCTTTCTAGCCAATGAGAGGGCAGATACACGTGTGAACCACAGGCTATAGAGTCAGAGGTCTCCATAGAGAGTAAAGCCTCTTATGTAAAAAAAAAATACTATAAAAAAAACCTACAGCCTGCTCAGCTCAGTGCACATTGAGACCAATCAATGACTTAACCAATCACAGCACCCCATTTGCAATTTGAATATTAGCTAATTACATTTCCCACAGGTTTGAGTAATTAGAGTCAGACTCAACTCCACATAGTATTATGGGAGAGCGAGGGTTATTTGTTCCTTCTGTCTGCTCTGCTCTGCTTTGGTCCTCTCTGCAGGGTTACATACATTTATTATTCTAAACAGACCACCATTTATTTTGTAATATTCTGGGCTTGACGACGGCGGTAGTGGGACTAATAAGGAGTGGACATCAGTTAAGTGACTTAGTCTTGGAAGGGAGATACTGTATGTGTGGCACACAAGAGGGAGGATTTAAAATCTAATTTGACTTCAAGTGAACTTGGTAGCCTGGGTCGTATTCATTAGGTATGAAATGGAAGCAAACCCGGGAGGGACTGCCTGGACTACGTGTACACTAATTGATAAAACCCACTGTTGCTTTCAAAATACAGAATATCATTTATCAAATGTAATATTTGTGGTACATTATTACACAGTGCATGAATATATAGCACATTAATAAAAGTAGCACAATAGTATCACTTTTGTCCAAGCCCCTGTAAATAACATTGTATAAAAAAAACTAAGAACTAAACTAGCTCCTGTGTTTGTGTGTAGTCTACATGTATGCATAACAGAGAAAAACAGTAGATATATATATAACACACACACACTGTGTTAGCCAACTCACACACACACACACACACACACCGTTAGCCAACTCATACATGTCTAATCATTCATTTTCACGCCAAAGAATGTATGGCTGAATGACAGCGGTAGAAGAGTTGGATACAGCTCCTGAGTGGCGCAGTGGTCTAAGGCACTGCATCGCAGTGCTAACTGTGCCACTAGAGATCCTGGTTCGAATCCAGGCTCTGTCGCAGCCGGCCGCGACCGGGAGACTCATGGGCGGCGCACAATTGGCCCAGCGTCGTCCAGGGTAGGGGAGGGAATGGCCGGCAGGGATGTAGCTCAGTTGATAGAGCATGGCGTTTGCAACGCCAGGGTTGTGGGTTCGATTCCCACGGGGGGCCAGTATAAAAAATAAATAATGTATTCACTAACTGTAAGTCGCTCTGGATAAGAGCGTCTACGTAAATGTAATACAGTAGAATAGTAGGCTATGCTATGGGAGTGGGACCAGGCTGTTGAAGTTCAGGCATGGATGGAGAGTGCCCTCCAGTGGTAACGTTTGTAAACACTACTCTCTACTGATGCTTTTTTTTTTAAACGACAAGATCAGCTTCAAATACATTTCTTTCTGTGTTTTTTCACAGATGGTTATTGCATCATATCTTGTCTTGTTGCTTTTTTCTCATTGGATGCCATGCTGTGAAACCACCGAATTGAACCAAGAGCTCATAGATTGGTTCCAAATCATCCCCCATTTTTTCATCACCCAAAAGAACACATAACTAGCAGATTATTTAAACGGTTTTATTGTGATCATGAGAAACATAATCAAAAGTGCCCTGGGGAACCCAACATCTGGGGAAAAAATGCACACCAAAAAAAAAAAAAAAATCACACAAAAGGAACAAATGAAAAGAGATTTAACATAAGTGCTTGGCCTTGGGATATTACATTCTTCTATACCAAAACTACATACAAATAAGCATTTAAAGAGATCCAGATATCAATCTTCCTCTTAGACTACAGCATCTGCTTCTGCAAAGCAAATGAACAACCCAACAAAACATACAAGACAAAACGGCCTGTCGGTTTCATTTGTAATGTGGTCTTTAGTAATGTCCATGCAAAGTATCTGAAAAACAGCAATTGGTAGAAGTGAACAAGTTCTGAATATACATAGTCACTTTTTAAAATACACAAGAAGTATATGTAGGAAAAAATACTGTACAAAAACAAGAATAGCTTTGTATAAACAATAAAACCTTTAATGTATCAATATATCCTTTGTATACTGTAATTTTTTTGGTCTATAGTAAAGATATAAAGTGATTAGGGTATATTCCACAGTACTGTATAGGCAACACCATTCATTCGCCCAACATACTGTGTGATTGTTATCTGTGGAGGCTGCTGAGGGGAGAACAGCTCATAATAATGTCCGGAACGGCGCAATGGAATGGCATCAAACACCTGGAAACCATGTGTTTGATGTATTTGATACCATTCCACTGATTCCACTCCAGTCATTTCCACGAGCCCGTTCTCCCCAATTAAGGTGCCACCAACTTCCTGTGTTTGTTATATACATCTCTTAAGTTCATTTCATTGGGTCACAGAGAGCATCTGTACGGTGTCCATATTAGGACAGTCTCAGTCTAAGCAGGTCTTCTTTCAATCTGAGCAGGACTGAGAGGCTGTCTTAATACGGACACTGACAGAGAAAAGTCATGCTTGGGAAGAGTAAAATAAAATAATAAAGTCTATTGTCTATTGCATGGATGCTGATAATGTTCAAATTTCAATGCTTGAAGAAGAAATAAAAACATGCCAGATTATATGTAAAGACAAATATTATCATATCAAATAATACAAGTAATTACAAATTAAATAAAGAGGGTAGTTTCATTCGTGTCTGTGACAGTAAGCTTAGTAGAAAGGAGACCAAGACCCTACTGCTCGATGGACTTATTGCTTTAGCTTCTGACAGTTCTTCTGTACAACAGGGTGACACAATGATCTGGTGACAGGTAACTTGAAACAACCTGTGTTAACAAAGTTATAAATAACACTGTCATAACCTACAAGCTCTCACAGTCTCATGTCAGAATTATACGTTCATCCATGTTTCTCAAACGTCATATTTCGAAGTTGTTCCAAACTTCAAATTTCGAAGTATTTAAGGTTAACTTTAGGCATTAACTCAAAATTGTTAAGGTTAGGGTTAAGTTTAGGCATTAACTCCGAATTCTTAAGGTTAGGGTTAAGGTTAGGCATTAACTCTGAATGGTTAAGGTAAGGGTTAAGGTTAGGGATAGGCTTAAAACAAAAATATCAAAAACATATTTATATCGCTGGATTCAAACATGCAACCTTTGGAATCAGAGGCAGATGCTTACACCCATCCGCAATGCCCTAGCAAAACCGAAACCTACTTGAAGGTAACAGCGCTCACTGTTGCTCCGTGTGGCTGTTTTCCACATCATCTCCCGACGTCCTCAGACATGGATGGACGTCGAATACTGACTTGTATAACAGGTGACCTGCCTGGTCATAACACTGCCATAAAAACAAAATTAACGAATGATAAAGCTGACATCATAGAATGCTAACCTGTGTGCCAGTCTGTCTCTGTGTTAGCTAGCATGTTGTTGCCTCACTAAGGCAACGAGGTAGTGTTACTTAATGCAGAAACAGTCGGGTACCCAGGCTAGCGGTATGTAGGCATTAGAAAGGTTTCAAAGTGTGAGCAGTGCAGTGATTCTTTACGTCAAGATTATACACTTTACAAACAGCTTATCTCTGACGGAGCATAAGAGAGAGGGGGGGGGGGGGGATTAAAAAGAAAGGTGGACGAAGTGGGACAGGTAACGTCAGTGGAGACATCTCAACTGACATAACCTACATTTACAGTATGGAAACCATAGAAAATTGATTGGGTGGTTGTCTCAGACAGGTGTAAGCTCAGCCTCTCAGCCTCATATTTGTGTGTGTCTTTGTGTGTGTGTGTGTGTGTAGTCTCCATCTGTGTGTGAGTGTATTCTGTCTCAGTCCCATTACAGAGGTCCGTGTGTGGCCTGGTACTTGGCCACTATGTTCTTGGTGCGTCCCAGCTCTCTCCTCAGGTCGCCCAACTCCATCCTCAGGGCTGAATTTTCTTTCTCCAGGAAACCCGCTCGTATAGCGATCTGGTTCTCTTTGAGCCGACGGGCATCCCGTGACCTCTTGGCAGCCACGTTGTTCTTCTTACGCCTCACCCAATACCTGTCATCCTGCTCGAGAGGTGCAAGGGAAGAGAGCGGGGAGTTAAAAGAGGAGAAATGTCCAACTGGGCAAAAACTGGTTGAATCAATGTTGTTTCCACATAATTTCAACCCAAAAAGTCTATGTGATGAAGTTGAATCAACATGGAAAACTAATTGGATTTGCAAAAAGTCATCAATTCAAGGGCATTTCATATTTTTTCACCCAACTTTTAACCTAAATCCAATGACATGGGGAATTGTTTTGTTGATTTTACGTTAAAAATTCACCCAAATATAAATCAAAACTAGACATTGAACGAACTTCTGTGCCCAGTGGGGTACTTAATTATACACTCCTGGGACCTAATTTATAAACATTGTGTATGTACAAAATATATCCCAAAACATGCGTGTACCAGTTTTCAAGCAAAAGTTGGCATTTATAAAAACTGAACTTGAAGTGAGAATGTGCTTAGCTTCCCGCAAACTTCAGAACATGCACAGTTTCTAGTGGTTAAAGTATTGCATTGCAAGCAGGGAAGAAGCCTAGTATTTTGTGCAAATGTGGGATATGATGACACTCTTATTCATAAAAATATATATAATAACAAGATTCAATCATTTGCCGTTAGTGAGAACAGCGAATATATTTTTTTTGTTGCATCTTTGCATTCTAAAATATTACGTTACAGCCTTATTATAAAATTGATTAAATTATTATTTTTCCTCATCAATCTACACACAATAGCCCATAATGACAAAGTGAAAACAGGTTTTAAGAAATGTATAACAAATAAAAAACAGAAATACCTTATTTACGTAAGTATTCAGACCCTTTGCTATGAGACTCGAAATGTTGCTCAGGTGCATCCAGTTTCCATTGATCATCCTTGAGATGTTTCTACAACTTGATTGGAGTCCACCTGTGGTAAATTCAATTGATTGGACATGATTTGGAAAGGCACAGAACCTGTCTATATAAGGCCCCACAGTTGTCAGTTCATGTCAGAGCAAAGACCAAGCCCTGTGGTCGAAGGAATTGTCCATAGGCAAAGATCTGGGGAAGGGTACAAAAACAATTCTGCAGCATTGAAGGTCCACAAGAACACAGTGGCCTCCATCATTCTTAAATGGAAGAAGTTTGGAACCACCAACACTTTTCCTAGAGCTGGCCGCCCGGCCAAACTGAGCAATCGGGGTAGAAGGGCATTGGTCAGGGAGGTGACCAAGAACCTGATGGTCACTCTGACAGAGCTCCAGAGTTCCTCTGTGGAGATGGGAGAACCTTCCAGAAGGACAACCATCTCTGCAGCACTCCACCAATCAGGCCTTTATGGCAGAGTGGCCAGACGGAACCCACTCCTCAGTAAAAGGCACATGACAGCCCGCTTGGAGTTTGCCAAAAGGCACCTGAAGACTCTCAGACCATGAGAAACAAGATTCTCTGGTCTGATGAAACCAAGATTGACCTCTTTGGCCTGAATGCCAAGTGTTACGTCTGGAGGAAACCTGGCACCATCCCTACGGTGAAGCATGGTGGTGGCAGCATTTTTCAGCGGCAGGGACTGGGAGACTAGTCAGGATCGAGGGAAAGATGGACGGAGCAAAGTACAGAGAGATCCTTGATGAAAACCTGCTCCAGAGTGCTCAGGACGTCAGACTGGGGCGAAGGTTCACCTTCCAACAGGACAACAACCCTAAGCACACAGCCAAGACAATGCAGGAGTGGCTTCGGGACAAGTCTCTGAATGTCCTTGAGTGACCCAGCCAGAGCCCAGACTTGAACCCGATCGAACATCTCTGGAGAGACCTGAAAATAGCTGTGCATCGACGCTCCCCATTCAACCTGACAGAGCTTGAGAGGATCTGCAGAGAAGAATGGGAGAAACTGCCCAAATACAAGTGTGCCAAGCTTGTAGCGTCATACCCAAGAAGACTCGAGGCTGTAATCGCTGCCAAAGCTGCTTCAACAAAGTACTGAGTAAAGGGTATGAATACTTATGTAAATGTGGTATAAGTTTTGATTTTTAATACATTTGAGAAAATTTCTAAAAACCTGTTTTTGCTTTGTCATTATGGGATATTGTGTGTAGATTGATGAGGGGAAAAAACAATTTAATCAATTTCAAAATAAGGCTGTAACGTAACAAAATGTGGAAAAAGTCAAGGGGTCTGAATACTTTCCGAATGCACTGTATTTCCCATTTCATTTCTATGATCATTGCAGAATATATTCCTCACCTTTTCTGACTGTGATGGTTTCATACTCGCAAAGTAGCCTATAGGCCTACAATGTCCCATCTCTCATTTAATTGGACCCACTTTAACGTAGTAAATAGAATACATTCCTCACCACATTTTCTGGCCATGATGGGTTCATATTCGTGAAGAAGCTTTGACCTACAACAAATTAACATGCTCATCTCATTTAGTTTGGCCTATTAGATAGACTATTATTTCAAGTATTTTGCTCTATGCATCCGAAAGGGAGCACAGTTCATAATATACAGTAGAATTTAACAGACAGTTGATCTTTTGCTTTGAAGTGTGGAGGCTACCACTGTAGTTTAAAACATTTTCTAGTAGATATACTAGACAATGTATAAACATTTGTGGGCAGTGCAGTATATTTAGGTTTGGGAAAAAGTTAACGCAAAACATTATTGAATTCCAACGATCTGTTTACAGTTCCACAACAATTTCAATTTTTATTTTATTTCAGAAACTGTCAGATACAGCAAATGTCACTGTAAAACTTCCAAACATTCTACCAACACCTCCAGAGACATTTGATCAAGTTCGCCATTGCTATTTCCTTTAGAAACTAACTTGCCCTAATTCCAATACTTCCAAAGTATACAGCAAATAAGGGCATTACTGTCACCATAAAAGGGGAAAACCGCACATATTTGATATAAGCGGGTTAACTGGATTGGTAGCTTTAGCCAACTTTTCATTTACTTGTTGCTGTGTACCAAAACAGTTGCCTAAGCTATGCTGTAAAGGGGTTGCCATGAATTTGACATTATCTTACAGGCAGCTCCTGGCGAGTACAATGCTGTATTTCATATTACAGTACACCTACTGTAATATAAATACGGTATCAAAGCAAGTACTGTGCAATGACAAACCGTACAATACCGTAAAATGGATTGTATTATACTGTAAAAAAGTAAATGCTACCGTAGTCAGGGGCATTATAACCACATAGGAGTTAAATTGGTACAGCATTCTCACTCACAGGTGCCTCTTACCAAGCATACCTCAAAATATGTTAATGAACCAGAAACAACAATACCATGCACCCACTAGTGGTCAAAAGGTATTTGGCGCTCCAAAGATACAGTACGTTACTGTATTCTGTGGGGTGGAATTAGAGTACCATTCGAAAAACAGCAATTTTCCCACAATGCTCCATCATTCACAGTATGCTGTAGTTAATAATAATAATAATATGCCATTTAGCAGACGCTTTTATCCAAAGCGACTTACAGTTATGCGTGCATAAATTATTATTTTTTTGTGTATGGGTGGTCCCGGGGATCGAACCCACTACCTTGGCGTTACAAGCGCCGTGCTCTACCAGCTGAGCTACAGAGGACCACAGTTAAACGTTTCAGACTATTTTACTGTTGCTAATACCTCAAATTATTGTATAAATTACAGTTTTCTGTGTACATATATTGTGCTTCACACTAAGTTTGAGTTAGCTCATACTATTCCTATTTTGTAATTTTAATTTGTGGGTTTTAAAATCTCCAAAACCGAAGCCAAAAATCACTCTCTGTTAAATTAAACACATCCATTTGCTAACTGTCAGAGATAGACCTCTCCCATTAAAAAATGACCCCTCCCCTCTCTCTGACAGCTAGTGGAGTTTTCCCATAACCTTTGTATGGCTGCACAATCAGCTTTCAGTCAATTCATTACTGCACTAAAGCCAGGCATGGATCCACCTTTATGTGAACAAATTTAAAAAGGCAAATCCCCTAAGTCTGACAGAGGAAAGCGAGAGAGGGAGAAAGAAGAGAGAGAACACCTCTAAAACATCCCATCAAAGCTTGTTTTCATATGGCTTTAGTGTCGTTGTGAAACCAGACTATAATCAGTGTTACAGTTTTTTCCAATTGCTTACACACAAAATCTTTTAATGTCACACAATTTTTGAAACCTCTCACTCAAAGTGCAAAACTACACACCAAATCTCCAAAACCATAAGCTATTTCTCAGCCTTTGACTCAGTTGTCAATTATATAACACTTTTTTCAAAACACTACACACAATTCTCTACCTAAAACACAAAAATCTAACAGGAAGTGACTTGCTTTCCTTTTCCAAAATGCAACCAATCAAAATGCTACACTTATTCACCAGGTCACACACACACTCCTCACATGTGCAAACACTAATTGCTTAACTGATCACTAACCAATCACTGCTTTACTGTAGTATAGGCCTATAAATAGGTCAAAGGTCAGATTACCTGTTTTGAACAATGGATGCCAACAATGGACAGAGAGCAAGTGGAGTAGGAGGGAGAGGCAGGGGACAACAACGAAGACAAATTCAAAGACGAAGAGATGGAAGAGGAGGAGGAAGAGGAAGACGAGGGCAAAGGCAAAGAAGAGAAGGAAGGAGAGCCATCTCTGATGAGATTAGGGCAACACTTGTTGATCATGTGATCAACCACGGGTTGACCATGAGAGAGGCTGGACTAAGAGTCCAGCCCAACTTGAGTCGATTTACAATGGCGTCCATAATTCGAACCTTCAGAAATGAGAACAGGTATGCAACTATCTAATGACAATTTTAGCATTACAGTAATGTACTGTAAAATACCTATGACTGCATAGTATTGCATAAACATTTGTAACTCTAAGCCATCCATTTACTGCACTGCATTGAATGAGGTTGGTTATCATGCTGTACTACCTTTTTTTGTACATTGTTTACAGTTCCTATGCTGAACACATACTGTGTTTGAATTCTGTACAGAGTGGAAAGGCAAGACATCATGGAGGACGAGGACGCTTGTTTACAGATGTACAAGAGACTGCAATTATAAATATGGTTTTGGCCAACAATGCAATTAGGATTCGAGAGATAGAGCATATCTTGAATAATGACACCATATTTAACAACATCAATGCTGTAAGCCTGTCGACCATACAACGCATCCTCCAATGGCACCAAGTGATGATGAAACAACTTTACAAGGTGCCATTTGAGAGAAAGTCTGACAGAGTCAACAATCTGCGACATGACTTTGTAGAGGTATGTATGCAACACTACTTCCAGTACTTCAGACATACCATATTTACTCATCTGTATATCCTTTTGTCTGTTACAGAGAGTATTGGAGATAGATGCCCATGTAATTCGCCATTAATTTATTTATGTGGATGAGGTTGGCTTCAACCTCACCAAAACCAGGTGCCGCGGAATAAATGTAATAGGACAGAGGGCAATTACCAATGTCCCTGGAGAGCGTGGGGGTAATATAACTATGTGTGCTGCCATCACTCAAAACGGGGTCCTCCATCACAATGCCACACTGGGTCCGTACAACACCGGCCATATGCTCACTTTTCTGGATGCAATTTACACAATGCTTGTCCCTGATCCAGATCAGGAGCCTGCTAGATTTGTGGTTATATGGGACAGTGTTAGTTTTCACCAGGCTGTTCTGGTCCAAAACTGGTTTGCCACTCATCCACAATTTGTAGTTTTGTACCTACCCCCATATTCACCTTTTCTAAATCCCATAGAGGAATTCTTCTCAGCCTGGCGCTGGAAAGTGTAACCCTATGCCCGCATGCCGATTCTCCAGGCAATGGAGATTGCCTCTGTCCAAGGTTGGATACGCCATGCTAGGATATACTTCCCTCGCTGTTTGGCAAGAGAAAACGTATCTTGTGATGTGGACGAAGTATTGTGGCCAGATCCAGCCCGGAGAAGAGATGAAGCGTAGCTTAGCACTGGTGACTGCCCCCCACCCCCCTACCAATTCCTGGACTGCCCCCCCGGGACCCCACACACAATTGTGTTCTTTACTGTATTCTAAAGAATATACTTTTGGTTTACATATGTTTATGGTTTTGTTGTATGCTACTGTATACAACAGTAATGTTTGCCCTAATAAATATTTTCTGTTTCTACATTGCATTGGTGTTTACAGTGTACTTGTTACCCCTCTCAGCAGATTACTTTCACTGTAGAACATTGTATTGAAATTTAGATACAGTGGGGAAAAAAGGTATTTAGTCAGCCACCAATTGTGCAAGTTCTCCCACTTAAAAAGATGAGAGAGGCCTGTAATTTTCATCATAGGTACACGTCAACTATGACAGACAAAATGAGGAAAAAAAATCCAGAAAATCACATTGTAGGATTTTTAATGAATTTATTTGCAAATTATGGTGGAAAATAAGTATTTGGTCAATAACAAAAGTTTCTCAATACTTTGTTATATACCCTTTGTTGGCAATGACACAGGTCAAACGTTTTCTGTAAGTCTTCACAAGGTTTTCACACACTGTTGCTGGTATTTTGGCCCATTCCTCCATGCAGATCTCCTCTAGAGCAGTGATGTTTTGGGGCTGTTGCTGGGCAACAGACTTTCAACTCCCTCCAAAGATTTTCTATGGGGTTGAGATCTGGAGACTGGCTAGGCCACTCCAGGACCTTGAAATGCTTCTTACGAAGCCACTCCTTCGTTGCCCGGGCGGTGTGTTTGGGATCATTGTCATGCTGAAAGACTCAGCCACGTTTCATCTTCAATGCCCTTGCTGATGGAAGGAGGTTTTCACTCAATCTCATGATACATGGCCCCATTCATTCTTTCCTTTACACGGATCAGTCGTCCTGGTCCCTTTGCAGAAAAACAGCCCCAAAGCATGATGTTTCCACCCCCATGCTTCACAGTAGGTATGGTGTTCTTTGCATGCAACTCAGCATTCTTTGTCCTCCAAACATGACGAGTTGAGTTTTTACCAAAAAGTTCTATTTTGGTTTCATCTGACCATATGACATTCTCCCAATCCTCTTCTGGATCATCCAAATGCACTCTAGCAAACTTCAGACGGGCCTGGACATGTACTGGCTTAAGCAGGGGACACGTCTGGCACTGCAGGATTTGAGTCCCTGGCGGCGTAGTGTGTTACTGATGGTAGGCTTTGTTACTTTGGTCCCAGCTCTCTGCAGGTCATTCACTAGGTCCCCCCGTGTGGTTCTGGGATTTTTGCTCACCGTTCTTGTGATCATTTTGACCCCACGGGGTGAGATCTTGCGTGGAGCCCCAGATCGAGGGAGATTATCAGTGGTCTTGTATGTCTTCCATTTCCTAATAATTGTTCCCACAGTTGATTTCTTCAAACCAAGCTGCTTACCTATTGCAGATTGTCTTCCCAGCCTGGTGCAGGTCTACAATTTTGTTTCTGGTGTCCTTTGACAGCTCTTTGGTCTTGGCCATAGTGGAGTTTGGAGTATGACTTTTTGAGGTTGTGGACAGGTGTCTTTTATACTGATAACAAGTTCAAACAGGAGCCATTAATACAGGTAACAAGTGGAGGACAGAGGAGCCTCTTAAAGAAGAAGTTACAGGTCTGTGAGAGCCAGAAATCTTGCTTGTTTGTAGGTGACCAAATACTTATTTTCCACCATAATTTGCAAATAAATTCATTAAAAATCCTACAATGTGATTTTCTGGATTTTTTCTCCTCAATTTGTCTGTCATAGTTGACGTGTACCTATGATGAAAATTACAGGCCTCTCATCTTTTTAAGTGGGAGAACTTGCACAATTGGTGGCTGACTAAATACTTTTTTTCCCCACTGTATAAGCCTATGAAAGACCAAAGAGCTTTAGAACAACCATGTTTACATGGTATATCCAAAAATGTACTGTTATGAAAGAAGTGTTTGCCATTTGATGCAAATGCTTAATTCTGACATGTGTTTATGGCATTTTGAATGCAGTGTTACATTTTGAAGGAGATGTGAGGCATTTTGCATTTTTGTGTGTGCAGTTTTGGGAATTGTATGTAGAGTTTGGAAAAAAGGAGACAGTTTTGAAAACGTGTGTAAGCAGTTGGAAAAAACTGTAATGGCTCTCTGTCTACACTATGATCTACTACACTATCTACATTCCATTCACTCACTGTGATTATTATCTATGAATAATCTACTCCTAAATAATAGATGAGTCGGCGTTATGGCCAGATCTACCTGTTACGTCATCAGGGAAAACACAGCACTAAGTAATCTGATAGATTAGATGTCTCTCACACACACACCTTCATGTCATCGGGGAATAACACCTTGCGGGCCTTCTTGAACATGGGCTGTGGTTTGAGTTCCTCGGGGGCGAACTTGCGTTTGCGGGGGTCGAACATCTCCTGTCCCGGTACGCTGGACAGGGCTAGGTCAGCAGGGTCGGGCTCATAACTCATCGGCACCTGGATGGACTCTGGGTCGATGGGGCTGGGAGTGTTTCTGGATGGCAGGGCTGGAGAGGGGGAGGAGAAGATGACCGCAGGATGTTAGAGACATGGAAGTAGGCTATAGAAATGTATTTGATAGAATTATAGAAATTACCTCTGCATATTTGTTGGTTTGGTGTTTCGGTGCACTATTTTCAAGACATTCATGATAAAAGTTTAGCAAAATCAAAGTGACAAATTGAAAGTAATGTGTTTTTATTCCCAGCGTCAAACAATTGCACTGTTACTATAATGTATCCAGTAGTAGTGACAAATGGTGGCCACTGTGTGGCACAAGACACAAAGCTAACACTCACACCCTAAACCAAAGTTTGCCATTGTGTGAAACATACCAGTGTGAGTACCTACATTTCTCACCCTCTTCCCCCTCCAATTCCCATCCAAAATGAACTCTGAACCAACTACTGGACAGAAGCACATCGGTTAAAAAATGGTTATGTGGACAGGGCTCATATTATAAATCCTTATCCACTTGTCTCTTACTGCAGTCCTTACACAAGCATTATGCATGTAGGTATCTATTTGCATTGAGTGGAGACCGGAGACCAGCTGGTGTGAGATGGAAGAGAGAGATAGAGGCTCTGCTCCAGTTCTCCTTTTCAAATGACATCTGAACCTCAATCTCAAATCAAATCAAAGTGTATTGGTCAAGTGCACAGGATACAGAAAAGCCCTACAGATCTGAACCTAATGTGACGACAAGGCCCTTCTCTAACTGAGCTGAGGTAGAATAGTTGTATAGAAAACCTTATAGTTTTCACTTTGCATTTGTATTCAAATTCAGATTTACATTTAATTCATAATCACACTCTAACAAGCGTCCAGAAGGTGTACTTGTACTTCAACCTGCCTTGCGCTACAGAAACAAGAGATACGCCTCCTGCCCCTTTGGGCTGTTCTGGCTCGGACAGGACTTACTCGGTCAAGACATACTTATCTACTTACTTTACTAACCTCGTCCTCAGGCTCAATTGCTACCAGAGAGAGAGCCGGCTGGTGGACGAGATTAATCACACTGATGCGGTCTGAGATTTACAGTATAGATACAGTGGGGGGAAAAAGTATTTAGTCAGCCACCAATTGTGCAAGTTCTCCCACTTAAAAAGATGAGAGAGGCCTGTAATTTTCATCATAGGTACACGTCAACTATGACAGACAAAATGAGAAAAATAAATCCAGAGAATCACATTGTAGGATTTTTAATGAATTTATTTGCAAATTATGGTGGAAAATAAGTATTTGGTCAATAACAAAAGTTTCTCAACACTTTGTTATATACCCTTTGTTGGCAATGACACAGGTCAAACGTTTTCTGTAAGTCTTCACAAGGTTTTCACACACTGTTGCTGGTATTTTGGCCCATTCCTCCATGCAGATCTCCTCTAGAGCAGTGATGTTTTGGGGCTGTCGCTGGGCAACACAGACTTTCAACTCCCTCCAAAGATTTTCTATAGGGTTGAGATCTGGAGACTGGCTAGGCCACTCCAGGACCTTGAAATGCTTCTTACGAAGCCAGTCCTTCGTTGCCCGGGCGGTGTGTTTGGGATCATTGTCATGCTGAAAGACCCAGCCACGTTTCATCTTCAATGTCCTTGATGATGGAAGGAGGTTTTCACTCAAAATCTCACGATACATGGCCCCATTCATTGTTTCCTTTACACAGGTCAGTGGTCCTGGTCCCTTTGCAGAAAAACAGCCCCAAAGCATGATGTTTCCACCCCATGCTTCACAGTAGGTATGGTGTTCTTTGGATGCAACTCAGCATTCTTTGTCCTCCAAACACGACGAGTTGAGTTTTTACCAAAAAGTTCTATTTTGGTTTCATCTGACCATATGACATTCTCCCAATCCTCTTCTGGATCATCCAAATGCACTCTAGCAAACTTCAGACGGGCCTGGACATGTACTGGCTTAAGCAGGGGGACACGTCTGGCACTGCAGGATTTGAGTCCCTGGTGGCGTAGTGTGTTACTGATGGTAGGCTTTGTTACTTTGGTCCCAGCTCTCTGCAGGTCATTCACTAGGTCCCCCTGTGTGGTTCTGGGATTTTTGCTAACCGTTCTTGTGATCATTTTGACCCCACGGGGTGAGATCTTGCGTGGAGCCCCAGGTCGAGGGAGATTATCAGTGGTCTTGTATGTCTTCCATTTCCTAATAATTGCTCCCACAGTTGATTTCTTCAAACCAAGCTGCTTACCTATTGCAGATTCAGTCTTCCCAGCCTGGTGCAGGTCTACAATTTTGTTTCTGGTGTCCTTTGACAGCTCTTTGGTCTTGGCCATAGTGGAGTTTGGAGTGTGACTGTTTGAGGTTGTGGACAGGTGTCTTTTATACTGATAACAAGTTCAAACAGGTGCCATTAATACAGGTAACGAGTGGAGGACAGAGGAGCCTCATAAAGAAGAAGTTACAGGTCTGTGAGAGCCAGAAATCTTGCTTGTTTGTAGGTGACCAAATACTTATTTTCCACCATAATTTGCAAATAAATTCATTAAAAATCCTACAATGTGATTTTCAGGATTTTTTCTCCTCATTTTGTCTGTCATAGTTGACGTGTACCTATGATGAAAATTACAGGCCTCTCTCATCTTTTTAAGTGGGAGAACTTGCACAATTGGTGGCTGACTAAATACTTTTTTCCCCCACTGTAGATCTATACCTAGCTCAGCGCAGCTATACAGGGATGTACGGAGACAGATTTGACCTCCAGTGCAGATTAAGATTTAATTTCAATCAAGAGAAGACAACATATGCTTCCTAGAAGTGAGTGTAGCACCTGCTAATCAGAAGTGCCTGAGACGAGTGACTAAGGAACAGAACATTACACCAATTAGCTGAAGGGATGTACTGAGAGAGATTTGACCTCCAGGTGAATATTTCACTTCAATCAAGAGAAGGCAATCTGCTTCTCAGAAATGTGTCTTAGGCTGTGTTTGCACACATAGCCCAATTCAGATCTTTTGTCAATTATTTGCATATCTGATATAAAATAAAATAAACATGGAATCTGATCTTTTTACTTTTGATTTATACCACCTCCATATGTGGATCTGAATACTCATATAAACCTGATCCTCCATATGTGACCTCTGTCTGGATGCTCAGATCAGATTTCTTTGCTCTGAAGTTAATTTTTTTTGCACATGACCTGCTGTTACCATGACAACCACCCCAACATTTTAAGGAATTGTTTACACAGCCACCCTAGGAACCCAATTGAGATTTATTTTCATATCAAATCTTTTTTTCTGACTGTCCACACAGTTTTACATGTGACCCATATCAGATTTCCGCATTCTCACTGATGTAGCCTCTGAAGTAGCACACAGATGCAGTGCTCATTTCCTGTCACTGTCCTTTAAAATTCTAGGGTGGTTGTCATGTGCAAAAGAAACACTTCAGAGTAAAAAAAAAAATCTGACCTGAGCATCCAGACTGAAATGGAGCATCAGAATTGTATCAGGATTGAGATCCACATAGGCTGCGTTTACACAGGCAGCCCAATCCTGATCTTTTTTCACTAATCTGTCTTTTGACCAATCAGTAATAGGGCAAAATATCAAAATTGGGCTGCCTGTGTAAACACAGCCATATAGATGTGGTATAACACCTGCCTCTCAGAAGAGAAGTGCTTCAAATGAGTGACTTACGAACAGAACATTGCACTAATTAGTCAAGCTAATTAAGCCATGTTCACACTGCAGACTTTAATGCTCAAATCAGTTTTGTTTTTCAAATCCGTGTTGGAATACAGCAAGTTACAAGTGACTAAATCGGATCTGTGTGTGTTCAGACAGCAGTCATTTGCTGACATGGCTACGCTAGTTGTCATAGTAATGTCGTGTGTGTGCGCAGTGGTGTAGGCTGATTGGTGGTGGTGCTGAAGGTGACAACAATGTCTGCTTTGAATGTTCAAAATCATAGCGTAAGAACACTTAAAGCCTCAAAGATAAGATAATCCAACTTTCAAATGAGTCATTTTTGGCTAGCCACAGCAGTCAACTAGCTATCTAGGTAGCCGTTTAGCTTTCTAGCACATTCACTAATTTGTTTGTAAACAATTAGCAAGCTAGTTAGCTACCACATGTTCTTGTCAAACTGTCAACAGAGTAGCTAGCAAGCAACAGGATATGCTAAATAACAATCTAAAAACCACTCGAGGGCAAATAAATCAGATTTGACTGTTCAGACACAAGTCGCATGGCCAGGAATCAGATTTGTATCTGATTTCAAACCCCCACCCCCAAACATCTTCCCGCAGTGGTGATAGGGGTTGGAAGAGAGTAGTCTGACTGGCCTACATGCTGTTTACATTGTGTGTGGTTGGGTATTGTTGGTCCATATGGCATATAGATTAGATCATTGGTTCTCAACTCCGGTCCTCGAGTACCCCCAACAGTACACATTTGTATTGTTGCCCCAGACAAGCACACCTGATTCAACTTGTCAACTAATCATCAGGCCCTCAATAAGTTGAATCAGGTGAGTTTGTCTGGGGCTACAACAAAAATGTATGCTGTTGGGGTAACTGGAGGACTGGAGTTGGGGGGAACCACTGCATTAAAATCTACAACGTGTGTTAGCTGGGTTCATGTGAGGGTCCCCTGCTCCTACTTCTGATCATGTCCCAGTTCATTTAAGTACAGCACAGTATGTACCTAAAACACAGATCTTACGCAGAGACAAGCACAAGTACAGGCAGCCTGAAGCGAAGCGCAGCGCACACACACACACACACACACAGTGTGTACATCACGTGTATCTGCATTCTGAAAGAGGATACAGCAGGGCTGCCCAATCCTCTTCCTGGAGATCTACTGTCCTGTGGGTTTTCAGTCCAACCCTAATTTAACACACCTGAATCTACTTATTAGCTGCTCAACAAGACCTTAACTAGCTGAATCAGAAACGCTAAATTAGGGTTGGACTGAAAACCTACAGGACAGTAGATCTCCAGGAAGAGGGTTGGGCAGCCCTGGGATAGAGTGTGTGCAACACACTTACGGGTCACACCATCACAACATCTGTTGTGGTGTTGAATTTCACACCTTTTCCATTCTGGGTTTGAGGCCTCTTCTAAGAAACCTAATAAAGCAGTCCTACACTCTATTCTTACTGGGCCTGCATTTTAATGGGGGCACAGACACTAAGGACTGTGACGGATACATGACTCATCTTTTTCCTTCTCATCTATTTTTATGTTGACATATTTGTTCTGAATCCTGACACCATCAGAATGCATTGGTTGGCTCATCCCAACCCAGGGCCAAGTGTCAAATGAACAGACACCTCTACACTGCATCTATTGATTTACTCAGGGTTGTGGGTTCGAGTCGCATGGGGGACCAGTATGAATGAAAATGTATGCACTCACTACTGTAAGTCGCTCTGGATAAGAGCGTCTGCTAAATTACTAAAATGTAAAAACAGTGTCCGTCTAACACCTTACTGATAAATCATGATATGGACTAGTAGGCGTATTGTATTTTGACTTCAAATGATTGAGATTAGGTTAAGATAAGGATGACATGAGAGCAGTGCTTAGGGGGGAATATTTTCCCTAGTGACAAAAGGCAGGGAATGGATGAGTTTATGGTGTACTGTAGGTGCCCCCACCCCTCCTTGTTTCCCTGTGTGTTGGTGTGTATGTGAGGTGTGTGTGTTTTACACACCTGTTCTGGTGAGGCTAGGGAGACAGTTCTGTGCACCCATGCTTGTGTGTACCAATGTGGATGCGCTGGCGTGGTTGCTAAGGTCGATCACCGAGGGAGACGGTGTGGGCGGGGCTTGTGACCTACTTGACGTCTGGTGCTGGGACTGTGATTGTTGTGATTGGTGCTGGTCGCAGTGGATGGCGGTGGCGAGCTCAGACGGAATGCCATTTTCTGACAGGAACTCGTCCAGATCCATGTACTCCAGCTGGAAGTTGTCCTCATCGTAGGTTAGAGTCTTGTTCCACAGCGTGGGGCCCAGGAAGGCTGACTGTGGGGCACTCCTCTCCTCATCCAAATTCTTCTCCTTCTTTCGCTCCTTCTCAAAACCTAGAGATAAAGCCATAAAAACAATGCCGATCTATCACAAGGCTTGTATGATGATATTGAATATGCAGCATATTTATTTCAGTTTCTTGTATCTGTAATTTGGGAGAATAAAGTATCCTCTATGGCAGGGCTATTCAACTCTTACCCTATGAGGTCTGGAGCCTGCTGGTTTTCTGTTCTACCTGATAATTAATTGCACACACCTGGTGTCCCAGGTCTAAATCACTCCCTGATTAGAGAGGGACAATGAAGAAAAGCAGTGGCACTAGCTTCGAGGTCCAGAGTTGAATTTTTGAGTTCTCTATGGTATCCACCAGCTCATTTTCAGGCTTAGCTGGTTTGGATAACTGGTTTTTGAGGAGCAAAAAGCTAGTATCTGGAAGTGAATCCCTATACCTGCTTTAATAATGTTACTTCATAACAATATCTATCACCCAAAGTATCATACTTGCAATCAATGAAGCCATTGTACCAACATACATCACTGATAGCCACTGTGTTAGCTATATGATTAAATACATTCATTTAAGAGTAATAAAGAGAAGGGATATTTAATTGCTAGCTAATGAACTTGTCAAGTGTAGTCAGCTGACTAATCCCTGAAAACATAGCTACTGTATTGGTGGGGATGGTTTGGCCACATACACACACCTTGGAATTTCCTCACAAAATTATTCCAAGTATATACTGACGTTTTATGAACTTATCCATACGCCTTTATTTTACCAGGTAAGGACAATGAAGCAAATCATTATCAATTTGATCAAACATTTCTAAAATCAATGTTTAGCCTGGGCGAAGGGGTATTCAACTCTTACCCAACGAGGTCCGGAACCTGCTGGTTTTCTGTTCTACCTGATAATTAATTGCACCCACCTGGTGTCCAAGGTCTAAATCAGTCCCTGATTAGAGGGGAACAATGAAAAAATGCAGTGGAACTGGCTTCGAGGTCCAGAGTTGAATTTGAGGGCTTAAAGTATATTTTAAATGCATTCTTTGGGCTATTTACCTGGAGCCAAAACAGGTCATACACTATAAAGGGGTTACTGTGTGAATTTGGCAGTAGCTTACAGGCAGCTCGTAGCAGGTAAAATTATGTATTTCATATTACAGTACACCTACTGTAATATAAATACGGTATCAAAGCAAGTACTGTGTAATGACACACAGTACAATACCATAAAATTGGCTGTACTATACTGTTAAAATCTGAATTAATAAATGGATGAATGAATGAAATTCATTGAGGGGAGGGGTTGTTTGTATTTCACAGTATTTTACTGTAATTACAAGGGATTGGTGCAAGTAGGTTGGCTGCTAGGTAAAGTACTTACACATTAAAGTAGGTTTATTAATGAATATTTGGTGTTATATCTCTTGTACTTCTGGAGACCTTAAAGGCTTCCAAACTGGCAGTGACTACAGGGCAAAACAGACCAAAAGGACATGGCAAAATGCTCAACCATTTGAGGGTTAAAACTAGCTGCCACTCCAATCTGTCTCCTAGACAAAGTTATGGGGCACTATAACCACATAGGAGTTAAAATGGTACAGCATTCTCACTCACAGGTGCAACAGATATAGCCTCTTACAAGGCACACCTCAAAATATGTTAATGAGCCAGAAACAACAATCCCATGCACCCAATGGTGGTTAAAAGGTTTTTGGGCTCCAAAAATACTGTACTGTACTGTATTCTGTGTGGTGGAATTACAGTACCATTCGAAATAAAGCAATTCTTTGCCCAGCCCATAACATTTTTGTTTTACTGTTGATAATACCCCAAATTACCTTATAATTTACCGTTTTCTGTTACAGTGTAGATACAAGTAGCTGATCCTATAAATAAACTACACAATAATACATAAATAAACAATGGAAATAAAAAAGTGTCTCTTTCTATAAAAATTTAAATAATTTCAATTTAAGATAAGTTGTTCTATAGACTTTTAGAATATAATATAAAAAAAATAATTAAAGTCTTATTTCTTACCTTCATGTTGTTGTTCATGTTTGAGGAAGGGTAGTTTCATGGGGTTCTCCAATAGAGACTTCAGTACGCAGTGATTCGACGCAGGTAGAAAACTTGGATTCACCGGGAGATGTCTGGACATTATTTTATCCATCACGTCTTCCTTCAGCTATCAAAAATGAACTAAACCTGGTCCTGGGGTATTATTCGTTGCAGATAGGCTAATACAAAATATTAAACAAAACAAATCAATCTAAATCCCAAGAACAGGTCAATTTAACTGCCGATGTATGAAGAATGTTTTTTTAACTCAGTGGGCAGATTGCGTGCAAAGCTGGTTCTAGTGCCACCGGCTATTCCAATATGGGCTGTCGTCTACAGCAGAAGACAGATAGCGTTAAATAAGACAGATAGCGTTCACCCATTCCATTCATACCATATGTGAGAACCGAGGTGTGTGACGTCAAACCCTGAGAGATACCGCCCCTCTTTTCTCTCTCTCGTGTGTGCGTGTGTGTTATCTCTCTCTCTCTCTGTGTGTGTGTGTGTGTGTGTGTGTGTGTGTGTGTGTGCCATCATTACAACGAATGAGGCCAGTGTCTAAAAGTGATTAAATGCCACTCAGAAGTTCATTCTGGTCTTTATTCGGGCTGTCGTGAAAGTTACCTATGTAGGCTACTACAGTATATTATAATAGCCCTAGTCCACTGCCCTACAGACTATAATTTCTCTACATGTCAAACAGGGTTCAAAGAAGCAGACAAAGTAGGGCTATTCATCACATGAATGCGCACAGGGAGTAATAGGTATATTGGCATAATATCCGAGTTTGTGTGTAGAAAATCGAATTAAACTGTTATAACATTGTGTAAGCCTACACTGGCCCTTGTTCATAATAGGTGCAAGGTGCCATCCGTTTTGAATTCCCTGTTCTCTATGAGAAACGCATCCTCATATGTGAAACACATGACAGATTAATTTTAAATTAGGCTACCATTTGTTCCCACATATATACATGAACAAATGCACATTGAGACTAATTAAAAGCGCTTTCGTCATGTTTCAAACGAGGAACTGTGAGAGCGCTTTTTTTATATAGAGCACTTTTTTCGTCTGTCACGCTTTGAACGCACGAAACAAACCCTGTTCACCCTAGAACTGAAAATGAAAAGTGAAATGATCGGTCACGTAAGTGGGCGAGGTTGACCTACTTTTGTCCAATAGCAGAGCGAGATATCCTGTGCTCGCTGCTCACCCCCTCCCTAGCCGGTTCTCACATTGAACCCCTCATGTGCTTTAGCCGGGGAGAAAAACAAGTCAATTTCACACAGTACTGGGGAAGAAAAAATGGCCTGGACTCCTTGAAATAAGCTGTTTAGGCCTACAAAGTGAACAACTGCAGGATCCTCGACCTGAGTGCTGTCTTCCGCTGCCAGAATCCTCAACTGCACCACATCAACTGATCACATCACAGCAGTAGTGGTGCGAGGAAGCCAATACAGAAAAAAAAAAAAGCCTTATTACCACCTGTTTTGTGATAATTGCGTTGTTTTCTCTATAACCTGTTAATTCATATGCCTTGCGACCGTGATATATAGGCCTGAGGCCGAGAAAATTAGTAGACACAGTGGCAAAATGAATTCAAACACACCTTTGTTTCATCACAAAACCGGCGAGCAACCTCTGTCACATGAAGTCCACAAAGCATATTGCATGTAACAAACAGTTACATGACCTACAGCATGGTCAAGCAAGTTAATGTTTCCGACATTTTCGGGCTACTAAACAACTATTGATTTATAACCATGGAGAGAGACTGCATGTCGCAAAGAAAACAGGAGCTGCCTCCAGTATTTAAGCATCATTTCAACTTCAACATTTCAACATCATCAAATCTCCTATGCCTAGTGACAACTAAAAGATATCAAAAACTATTTAGTCCAGTCAATGTAAGCTAAATATGTGGTTGTCCATGGCACTGATTTATGTGTGTGTGTGTGTGTGTGTGTGTGCATTCCTGCAAGTAGAAAAAAACATGTTGACTCACTCTACTTATAGAGAAATGCCAATGCCATCCGGCTCTCTTTCATGTTGGCAAAACGGTCTATGACTCTGTCATACAGTACACGCTTTTATGTTTTGTTGTTCCTAGGCTACCTGGCTAAAATGCTTGCTCGCTAGCCTAATTTCCTTTTTTTTCTTGGTCCATTTTTTGGGGATGCCTTGCTTCCCTTGGCATCCATGAATCCACCCTACTGCATCACAGCAATCCTTATTACTGGTGGACTTACACTTAGGCAGAAGAGGCAATTGCCTCAGTCCTCACATCATCAATGGGCCTCATGAGCTGGACATTATTTAAAGTAAATCTCCACTTGAGGCCCCCCCTCCCATGCTCCATTCGAAGCATAATAAATTAAAAATTATCAAAATCCCTATCAGAATCTGTCTGTTTAAAACAGCAATCAGCAGTAGAAACAATAACAAAGCGGTCTCCTGGTTCGGTAAGAAGCTGAGGAATGGGGCTGTAGAAATGTAACCACTCTCAAATTCATAGAGAGTGCTATGGATGCAAGGACTGACCATCCATGATATCAAAATTACAATTTTAACCATGTTTTGAGGCTATATAGCGTTTGTTTACATTTACTTTGTTTACAAACATTGGCGTAAAACAAGCATATATTTTGGGTTCTGTGGGGTAAGACAGTTGAACTAAGCACATATGGCATTTATAAGTTATATTCTTCAAGAATCAATGGGTACATATCATTAACAACAATTTATATAGCTACTGCTGATTGCCCCTTTAAGCTAGAGATGTCTGTTTTTTTGCATGGGCTGCGTCTAAATCCACCGCAGCCGCCAATGTCGGCCTTGGTATTTGTCAGACCAGGAGACATCCTGAAAATCGGTCTTCTCACGAAGAACCCTTTATGGAAAGATGAGACCCCGTGTCACGGGACCCGTCTGAAAGTAACTTGAAAAATGAATGGAAGTGAACAGGTAATTCCATGATAATTAAAAAATATAAATAATTCCTGAGCTTTCTTATATCTCTCAGATATAGGACAGACACTTCAAAACATACTTCCTTTTGATTTAATTTGGGACTATCTGTTTTTCCATGTATGAATCTGTTAATACAATACATATTTATTTAGTAAAAAGACAGGTGCTACTGATAATACTGCCATAGTCGCTGAGGCAGAGGCAGAGGACATGTATGTGTAGCCCATGTATCTGATGCTGTCTGGCCAAAAAGATGATTGCATGTCATACTCTTTTTGACCAGACAGCATCAGATACATGGGCTACATACACTGAGTGTACAAAACATTAGGAACACCTTCCTAATATTGAGTTGCACCCCTTTTGCCCTCAGAACAGCCTCAATTCGTTGGGGTTTGGACTCTACAAGGTGTCGAAAGCGTTCCACAGGGATGCTGGCCTATGTTGATTCCAATGCTTCCCACTGTTGTGTCAAGTTGGCTGGATGTCATTCGGGTGGTTGACCATTCTTCATACACACGGAAAACTGTTGAGCGTGAAAGTCCCAGCAGCGTTGCAGTTATTGACAAAATCAAACCGGTGCACCTGGCACCTACTACCATACCCCATTCAAAGGCACTTAAATATGTTGTCTTGCCCACTCACCCTCTGAATGTCACACATACACAAACGTCTCAACTGTCTAAAGGCTTAAAAATCCTTCTTTAACCTGTCTCCCACCCTTCATCTACACTGATTGAAGTGGATTTAAGAAGTGACATCATTAAGGGATCATAGCTTTTACCTGTATTCTCTTCTGGTCAGTCTATGTCATGAAAATAGTTTTGTATACTCAGTGGATAGTAAGACAGAGGGGCGCTGTTTCGCTTGCTCAGATGCTTTCTCTGGTGAGATCATTTTAGCCACTTGCGAATTGAAGGAAAGTTGGCGGTGCACAGTGCACTGTTCATAAGCTGGAATTGTTTTATTAATTTGTTTGACAATCAGATGAAAAAATCATGACTGGGTTTGTTCATGGCACATTAAAAGATAATACATTTTTAAGGGTCTCAGCCTGGGGCCTCCAAATCACTAAGTCCGACCCTGATACTCTAATGCTACTTTTAATGTAAGATGTCCATGATTGTCCTGAAAGTCTTCTGTCAATTAATGTATTATGATTATTATTATTATTGAAACTCAATGTAGTATTTTACTAAAGTAGTAGACTCTATTTGTCTCTGTCATATATATATATATATATATATATATATATATATATATATATATATATATATATATATATACACACATATATATCCAAGATGGCATAGCAGTGCGGTCGTGTTCTTTGTTGTGTGTCTGTGTAAATAGCCAGTTTTTTGTATTTTCTTTGTTGTGTGTCTGTGTAAATAGCCAGTTTTTTGTATTTTTTGTATTTTTCATACATATTTCCCTATCACACTTTTCATCCTTCTACAAAATATACTTTCCTGCAACCCGCCTCACTCAATGTGGAACAGATTCTATTATTTTTATTTTTATTTTTTTTATTTCACCTTTATTTAACCAGGTAAGCCAGTTGAGAACAGGTTCTCATTTACAACTGCGACCATAATTGACTTACCTTTTATCTAGAATCTAGAATCTCCAGTTGAGACCAGCTAGCCAGCTAACTAGCTACTTGCTATTAGCCACCGTTAGCGGTTTTCACCCAGAACATCGGATTTTCTACCGGAATAATTGAATCACTGGACATTAACACCGGATCGCAACTAGCTAGACGCAACCGAATTGGATGTTACTGTTTGGCTAATCACCACTGCCCCTGAAGCAAGCACCAATTAGCCTTGAGCCAGACCCATATCCCGGCTATCTACCTCTCTGTCTACTGGACGGGAGTAGCCAGCTAACTAGCTACTTGCCATTAGCCACCGCTAGCGGTTTCTCACCATTGTCCATGGCCTGCACTACCTACCAGCCAGCTCTAGCCTGGACTATTATCGGCCAGTCTGCACTGTCTGCACAGCGCGTTATCGACCCAGAACATATCGGTTTTTCTTCCGGAATCACTGATTCACTGGACCTTTAACACCGGATCATCGTAGCTAGATAGCTGCAATCAAATGGACGTTGTTGTTGGCTAATCAGCCCCGAGCTAGCCGCGAGCCAGGCCCTTCTCCCGGCTATCTACCTCTCTGTCAACCGGACGGGACCTCCTAGTGTTGACACGGAGCCCCGCCGATCCAACACGACTGGTCTGCCGACGAAATCGTCTGATGTGATTACAACAGGTTTCCCGTTATGACGTCGACCACGAAGATCCATCTGCTAGCCCCGGCCCGCTAGCACACGCTAGCCGTGGCCTCTTGCTCGCTAGTGCTATAGCAGTCCCCGA